TCTAAGTGTGCAAGACAAGGCAGGAGAGAGGGCAAAGGCAAACAGTTAGAGCTTACTGGTTACCCTGATGGGCAATGGTTTCAGTATGCCAGGAGCCAGATTTTATTCCACCTATTAGATCAGCCACTCTCAACCAGGATTCCGCAGCACCCTGGGGTGCCTTGAGATCCTTTCAAGGGTGTTGCAGTTTGCCACGCAATATTATCACTGTTGGGCATGCAAATGTGATTCACAAGATAAACCCAGAGATTTTCTATAGAAATTCATAGTGTTAAAACATTGTGACCTGTTGTTTGTTGTCTTTCTGAGGTCTTGGCAACTGAAGAATTGCTCTATTATGGGGGTATTCAAACTTTTATAAAAAGTTCTGACTCAGAGTTTCAGGTCCTGTACCCCCTTATATTTTTTTCTTATTTTTAAGGGGGGGCGGGGAATAGATTGAGGCTGCTGTGATGCAGGAGGGAGTGAGGCTGGGGCAGGCGTTACACAGCCTGGGCGGGGTGGTGTGCGGGACGGAGCTATGAATGACTTATCTGGGGGGGCGCGGGGAAGGGGGGTGGCTTCTGCTGCTGCGTGTACCTCAGGAGGGCATGGGAGGCATGTGCCCCTGAATCTGTGTGGGGCAGGCAGGGCTGCTCCAGTGGTGGGAGAGGGAGTGGGGCTTGGGCAGGGGCTGCCCTGCTGGGGCAGGGCGTGGGACTGAGCCATATGGAGAGGGGAGGACGCCGCTACATCCCTCACCCCACAGGAAGGCATGGGGGGCATGTGCCCCTGGATCTTCATGGGGTGGACTGAGGCCTGTGGCCGGGGTGGCACCAGGCTCTTCCCAGTAGGGGCTGGGCTAGGCTGTGCTTGGGGTGGGTGGTGGTGGTGCTGGGAGGGAACAGCCCGGTGCAGCCTCGCCCCACGTGCAGATCCAGGGGCCTGCGCCCCCCATGCCCGCCCAGGGTGCGCATAAAACCGGCGCTGGGAGTGGGGGCCAAGTGGGAGGAGAGCTCAGATGCGGCAGCTGCCATCCCTGCTGGCTATTGGCTGAGGGCAGCGGCCCAGTGGCCAGTCAGAAGAGTGAGCTGGGGTGGGTGGTGGGGAGGTGCTGAGATGTGCCATGTGGGGCCAGTGGTGCCCACTGTGCCCCTCTCCCTTCCCTGGGTAAGAGGCAAATGCGCCGGGGTAGATGCCACTGCTGTGCCCTGGGGCACGCCCTGTCCCCACCTGCGTGTACCCCTGAAGACCTTTCTAAGTATCCCTGGGGGTACACATACCCCGGTTGACAACCCCTGCTATATTGTTTTTACATAGTCAAAAAGAAGAGTGAAAACTAAGTGCTGTCATTTTCTGAGGTGTGCCTTGAGCCTAACAAAGAGCGTTTTGAGTCCAAAAATGTTGAGAACCAGTGTATTAGATGCATAAGTGAACTTTGGCATCTCAGTGGGATTCCATTCCAGCCTAACTCAGTCACTGGGAAACTGTTAATGCAAAAGATGGGTGGGTCCTCTTCCCCTTTGCTGCTTTGTTGACCTAGACTTAAGGGTACGATGATAGTGTGTTAAAAAAGTAGAGGCATTAAAAGATTTTCAGGATGTGAACAGGTTGGAATAGAACCACACTTAGGCACCCGAGTCCACTTAGATGTCTAATAGGCTGAAAAGAATCTGACTTCAGGTGCCAGACCAATTTTTGGAGGTCTTATGGCAAAGGAGAGCAATGTTATGAGTTACAGCTCATATTGTAGAGGAAGAGACAGGCAAATACAAGCTTCTAGTTCCTGTTAATCTCTCTGAGCTGAATAGCAAATATCATCCACGTCTTTGCTCAGTGCATATCTGCGGTTGTGGGAGTAGGAATTGTTTTAATCTATTTACAAGGTTCTGATCTAAATTATGCCACTGCTGAGAAGATGAGTAACTGATACACAAGCACAGTGGGTATAGACCATTTTCAGATACACAGGGAGCACCCGTTTGATATGCTTTACTGCTCAGTAGACTAATCTACCGTGCAGTAAAGTACCATCATCTACATGTACACAGCATTTACTGCACAGTAATTTAGTCTACTGCATGGTTGGCTACTACCTGTAGATACAGGTAGTAGATTAACCATGTAGTAGCTACTACACAGTAGTACATGTGTAGACAGCTGGCTAGGAGCAAATTCCTGCAGGTTAGTCCAGGCAGCAGGTGGTGGGGAAACTGTCTGCTCCTGGGCACAGAGCTGGAAAACAGCTGCTGGGGGAGGAGAAAATTTCTCAGCCCCACCCACCAGAGCCCAGGCGTGAGCTTGGTGTCCCCTGCCAATCTGGGGCTGGCACCTGGAGGAGCCTGGAGTAGAGTAGGTCAGCAGTAGCTTGCACTGAACTGCTCCCATCAGGAGCAAATTTGTTCCTAATGGACGTTTGTGTAGATGTGCTCCCAGGGAAGGTTTACCATGTAGTATTTACTGCGTGTTATGCTTACAGTGCATTAATAGCATGTGTAGATGCATCCACAGACAACTATCAACTTCATTATGATTGAGAAGTAACCTCTTTGTGGGGTGTGGAGCATTTGCTTGAATCTGTTGGCTATGAAGTGGGAGTGGAGTAGGAGTAGTGTGTGTAGCATTTAGTTTAACCACAGATAAAAAACATTTCTGTCCTAACCAGAAATCAGCCTGGCACAATAACACCTTGATAATTTAGTGTCTAAAAATAATTCCCAGGTTGTGGGAGCTCTATGACACCCTGTGTGCTGTTTGATGGTCTGGAAATCCTGCAGTATTGCAGGCTCAAAACAGCCACTAGCAGACGCCAGTCTCAAACTTCATAGCCCATATGTAGAGCAATGTAATTACTGTACTTGACCATTGAAGTAGGCAGCTGCAAAGAAGGCCTTTTGTGTAATCCTGGGTTTTTTCTGGATGAGGATAATGGTTTTCTGCAGTGAAAAGAGCCAGAATAGAAAACTAATGAGGCTGGGAAGATTTCTCAGGTCTGAAGGTGAAATGTAATACTTAAAAACCCAAACTGTGTGGCCAGATTCTGCTACTGTTATGCACCGTCAGTCATTGCTGACATATACAAACACCACATTGGAGCAGGTGTTGATGTGATCATTTAGAAAGACATGGATTAAATGCTTACATCTGAATGTAATTACTAACACCTCTTTCTGACACTCATCCTAACATTCTCTGAACTGAGCAGCTTATAGGAGCCATAATAAAAATAACGGTTTCTTGCCATAAAATAAAATCCCACATAATTATCCACTATATTTTACAATAGGTATGCTCCATTTCCAACTGTAATGTTTATAAGTCAAAATGTCCAAAATTTCTCTCCCTACAGGTTAGACATTGTTGCTTTTATCTCTGTGAAGAGGAAATCCCTTGCTTAGCAAGGAGAATCAGATGTTTCTTCCATTGCTGGAAGCACCCTAGATATTGGACAGTTTTGATCCAAGAGTAACTATTTGAAGTCACAATTTAAAAGCTATTTTGCAATTGTTAGTTCATATTTTTAATTCTTCCTCTCTGAGAAAATACTGAGAACATTTTACGTAGGTGTCTACACATGCAAATAATCTGGGTGTAATTTACTCTCGAGTAAACTCTCCCAAGCACATGTCTACATGTGCAGGGATGCAGGAGCAGATTTGCTGCTCCTAGCAGCAGACTATTCCCACTCCGTGTGGCCCTGCAATGGGGCCCTGCAGCAGCTAGGGGGAATTCGAGGCTCCACCTGGGTGCTAGCCCAGGGGCCAGGAGACAGACGGTTCCTGGCAGGGGCCAGGATATTGCTCCCTGCCCTTGGGAGCTGCCTGCTGCCGAGGCAGGCTTCACCTCTGGATCCTGGTAGCAGGGAGCTCCCAGCCCCTGCTCTGTGATCACTGGGCCCAGGCTGAGAGATAAGGATCACCTGGTCCTGGCCTCACCATTGCGGGGTGGGGGCTGGGAGCTCTCTGCTGCTGGGCCAGGGGGACATTGTCCCCACCCAGGCTCTGGTGGCAGAGCCCACCCCAGCAGCAGGCAGCTCCTGGGGGCAGGGAGCAATCTCCTGCCCCCTGCTGCCTGGCTGATTGGGAATATATTTGCTCCCGGTCAGATGTCTACACGTGCACTACTGCAGAGTAAGTAATCTGAAGTAATTTTGCCACTTGCATTTGCAGGTATCAAATTTACTTGCGATTAGAGCCACATACTGTGCAGTAAGTGCCTGCATGAGTAAATGTGGACTTACTGCATGGTAATGATCTCTACTGCACAGTAAAGCATCTCCTGTAGATGTGCCCATTATGTATAAAATACAAGATGCCATTCTGGACTATGGACTGACTTTTACTGGTATTTGTTTGGGAATCTGCCATCCATGAGTAATGTGACTGTCCCACATTAGTGCTGGCAAAAGGTTTATATAAAGCCCTTTATTGTACTCCTTTTGGGGGTGTGTGTGTGTGTGTGTGTGTGTGTGTGTGTGTGTGTGTGTGTGTGTGTAGAGCCTTGTCTTTAGCTGATGTGAATTTGTTTGTGACAGCTAAGGATATAGTACATAGAAATATCCCTTGGTTAATCTTTGACTAAGCTCCCACACCATTCAATCAGGTAATATTCTAGCTCAGTGCATTACAGTAGGTTAGAAAGAGGGAAAACTTTTTTGATTTATGAAATAACAGGCTGCTTATTGGATTGCCAGCATGAGGTGTCCCTCCTGTCTTCAGAAGTGTTTAGAGAAGCAATATATAGAGAATCATTGCTTCTGTAGTAAGCTCTAGAAATAGCTCATTTCCTTTTAGAGAAAATAAAATCTCTCCTGCTAATTTTTAAAAGTATTGATCTGACATGACAATAAGGTGACTGATTCTTTACAGCCCTCAATTCTGGTGTCTTCCATCTCTCCACCCCTTTGGGTTATTAATTCCTCCGTGCTTGGGATTTAAGAAATAATAACAACAGAGTAGAATGGGCCCTTGGAAATTCAGTTTTCTTTCTCTCTGATTCCTTTTGCTTTCTTATGGTCCTAGGAAATGCAAGTAAAGGCAAATCCCATACAGGATCTGGGCGGAAATCCAGGCTGATGAAGACAGTGCAGAATATGAAGAACCATGGGAACTACCAGAACTGCACCATTGTGAGGCCTCATATCCCACACTCCAGTTATGGCACCTATGTGACACTGGCTCCCAAAGTGCTAGTGTTCCCTGTCTTTGTGCAGGTAAGCTCGTCCTTCCTCTGCACATCTGGAAACTACCTGACCAGAGAGTGACAGAACTGACCACAGTGTCTTGCAACAGGGTTTGCTGCTATAAGTTTCAGTGGTTACTCTCAACACTGTCATTTAAGGGGGAGAAATTCCCCCTTAAGAAATGGATTCCTAATCATTTTCAGCTTCTTCCTATGTTCAGCATAGTATCTGATTCATTCTCTGCAGGGAACTGTGCCCTGCCCATGTAAATTCCAGTGAGACATTTCCACCTCTCATTTCTGTAATTTACACGATAAAAGGCTAATTTTCCACCTTTGGTCTTTGAGGGCACTTGTACATGTGCCTGATGCCTGCCCCAATGAGTGCTAATTAGATTATGCAGTGTCCTTGTGCTTCAAAATGGTGTAGGGGTGCTTTAACTAAAGCTTGTTTAGCGAGCTTTAGTTAAAGCACACCTGCCGCCATTTTGAAGTGTGGGATGCTGAATGCATGAGATGCAGGCACTTTAATTAGACTGGTTCCCCACCCCGGAGCACATGTAAAGATGCCCTGAATTCCTGAGCCAGTTGGTGGAGATCTGACCATTCATATTTGAGCTTAAACCACTTGGTTCTCATTCTGTAAGGTACAGAGCTACAATGCAGCTTCTGCCTATAGCTGCAGGGTCACCAAGACTAATTTAGTTTTGCCACTTGACAGCCCTCAAATCAAACCATATTAAGAGGGGCATCAGGGTATAAGGGGATTGTGGGATGAGAGAGGGGGACTCCACCTTCTCAATTCCAAAAAACAATTGTCTCATAATTTAGATATGATTTAGTGGGAATAGCTGGTTTGGAGACTCCTGCTCAGTTCTTAGTGTCTCCTGCTAGTATTCACATGGATATTGTATATGGCCAGATCCTCAAAATGGAAAAGGCCTGGATTTGACCCCAGTTTTGACATAATTCTGTATGTGCAGATAAGTCTCCTACACTGTTAAAAACATCTGTATCTGTCGGAGATTGTTCTACTTCCATATGCCTGGTTTTTCAGTCCAGCTGCACCAATGCATAACAATACGATTTTTTCAGATTTTTCAATTTTTTGTAATGTAGACAAAGCTTTAGAGAACATAGTGAAGGTGAATAGCTGTGTGGCATCTTGAGAAAGCTGACTATAGCCAGAATGATGAAAGAGAAGGTAATCAGATCCTCAGGTACTATATGAAGTCATCTTCTCCAGGTAGAGTTCAGAGCTATAGGCTTAATTCAGAATGACATTTTGAAAGTACTCTTCTTGTGGACTCATTGCAAAGGTTCTGGGGTGAAAAAAGTACTCTTCTTGTGGACTCATTGCAAAGGGGCTGGGGTGAACCCTGCCAGTAAGTTCCCTATCTGATTTTTAAAACCAGTTTCTTTCTATATCACTGTCTTGCCTGACGCAACCACTGATCCATTGTGCAGTGCGTGGTTTAGCTGAATTCATCGTGCTCCAGCAGTGGTTGCATTCATGACTTAAGAACACAGTTGGGATTATGTGGTTGTTTTACTGCCTTTCCAAAATAGTGATTCTTGGTTTGACTCTATAATGTTCCCATAATAATGTTTTGCTGACATTAGTGAGATTTGTATTTATTGAGTTCAGCTTTTTTGGCTTTGTTTTATAAAATTTAATTGTGTAAGCTCTCAAGTTGTATCCTAGTCGCATCCAATCGTATGCCCTTACAGATTCTCTTTTGGATGATGTCATCTGAGAACTGGTTTAGCACTTACTGTACAGTAATCAGGGCAATCAATGTTTGTTCAGTTCTTCAGTTAGTTTAGTATCAAACTGAATTGTCCCAAAGGTTTAGCTTTGTAGCCCAAGGTCCACTGCAGCCTGGAAGAAGAGAGGAGATGCCTCTCAGGGCCTTTTCATCTTGCTAATGAAATGAATCAATTACAAATGTGTAGCCACCCCTGTTCTTGTCTGAAGGTAGTTGACAGTTTGATGGGCTATTGTTGTGGTTGGGCTTCCTGCTCAATGAGCGGACATCACCGAGCCCACACTTTGCAGAATTAATGTACAAAGAAGCAGAAGCAGCTGATAGTCTTTTTATAGCTCCACATGACGTAGGTGTTAAGTGTAAGGCTTTTTTTTTTTTCCTTTTATCGCTTAGCTGGACTGCAGACTTTCCATCCTTGAGAGTTGTGCAGTTGTAAGGTACCTTCTGATTGTTTCACTTTTAGTGGTTTTCATACTAAGCTGAAGATGAAGTGTATTTGATGGGTGGAATTGAATTTTCATAGCAAGCCTTCTCCTTGTGAGTTAAAGTTTTGAATCCTTTTTTTTAACCTTTAAATCTTCAGCCTCTTGATCTTTGCAACCCAGCACGGACTCTTCTTTTGTCAGAGGAGTTGCTGCTTCATGAGGGCAGAAGCAAAACTATAAAGGTGAGATTTTATGTTGCTTTTAACATGGGTACTGAGCTTATGCTTTCTGAATATGTTCTCGCACCTTTTAACATGCTAGATTGAAAGTATAAGTGTTTGACTTTTAAATGCCTTTATTACAGTGAAATTCAGAAAACCTTGTAGCCAGTTTACCATGTGATAAACTAAATGCCACAGCTTGGCAATTGCTAGAACTCTTTTCTTTTCCTCATTGTCTCTGATGTCAACACAGATAAGGCTGTATAGGGCAAATCTAGTCACTTGCCTAAAAGCCAGGGTTTTTTTCCCTCTGCATATTTGTCAAGTCAGGATCAGGCTCACAGGACTGAGGGGGTGGGGGGGGTGAAAGGGAAGATTGCAAAATTGGGTTCCACAGAAGCCAGGCATAGCCTTTGCTAGAATTCTCTTTGTAGGTCTAAGACATGAGAGGGGAAATATGCCATCTCCTAAACCCCTTTCTCCTTTTGCCTGCTGCATTGTGTTTCCCTGCAGCATTATCAGAAGGGACATGTAAAGTCTTAGCAAACAGGTTAGGCCTGTTTATGTGTTTCAACAGAAGCCACAACATCCAAACCAAAAGAATACGGTGATTTTTGGCTGACGTTATTTGCCTTTGTTTGGATCCAAAGTTTAGGGGTTGCAAAAAAGAAGTATTTGAGACTAAAATTGTAATTCCTTTCAATCTCTGTTGAGGCACTGGAGCCTGGGAGCTGTCTCTGTCTATCATGAAAGTGTGGGGCTTTACTACATTTTGTCTTACATGACCTTCCTTGAAACCCATTGTGAGGCAGGATACCCTTTTTTTCCTGCCCATTTAACATAAGTATATAGTTCCTTGGACATCCCATGATTTGTTAGACCATACACAATACTGTTGTGTCCATGGAGCTAATGAAGACCTTTACACTTACTATTCAAGTACTTATTATATAATATATTTTTGTGTGACTGGTTGTAGAATCCCAAGACAGACCACCTCATTCCTTCCTGTTCAGTGGCATAAAACTGTGTAAGTGTGCTCACTCATATATATGTAGTTTTGTTTCATTAAGTGACTGATATTTCTTTGTGGTTTCCAGAATATATAACCCCTTTGTATGCCTGATTTGCTTCACTGGTCTCCCTATGAAAGTAAATGGAAAATGTGTCACTCGTTTGGGAAAGTTGTCGCTGATTTGCAAATAAAGTACTCTCTCATCTGCCCCCTGATACCCTTTACAACCCTGAGACTTCTAGACCTAAATATCCCCAAGGAACACTCAAATAAGTATAGATCTCTGTGAAATCAGATAGGCACAGAGTTGTGAGTGTAGTTTCTTCATGATGGGTTGGAAATATTGTGGCATTTCCCTCCATGGAGAAATGTTTAATTGAAGTCATGGTGCTCATTGTAGGCCACTTTCACTTGTTTAACTTCAGCTGTGCTTCAGAGGCTAGTAGAAGCAGTAAAATGTAAGATAGCAACTACAGTGACTTGTCAGGCTTGTGAGGGAGACAATGGACTGGGAATGGTAATACATAGTCACACGTAGATGGGCATATTGGGATTTTATTTGGAATAAATATGCTGTTCTGTCACTTACGTCAAGTGATGTTATTAGCCATTTTGGGAACACTGCTGCAGACATCAGAGATGTTTCAGAATGAGGGCATCAAAGTTTCATGATGTCCAGGCAATGGGTGCGGGACTGAAAGAGGACATCAAAGCTGGTGGTGTCTCCATGGTCAGGGACTGTAGCACTCTGACCGTGAGCATGACAGAGATGGATGGGAGGAGTGCTGGGTTTGATGCCATAATATCTATGTATATCTGGCCATGGGGGAAAGGGCAAGGGATATAACTAGGAACAATGGATAAATAAGAGTCTGAGGTGAGAGCGAGCAAGAAGACAGCAGCTGTTTTGGAAGACTGGGCTGACTCATTTGGCACAGCACACAGTGGCATCTAGAAGTGGTTCTGAACTTGCATTACAGAAAGAAAGGAGAATCTCAGTGAGTAGCATTTGGACATCACCTAGCCTTCTACAGTATGGCTTTCTCATGTGGCATTTGTGAGGACTGCTTTTCTAGAACTTTGCAGGGCAGGAAACAAATGTTCTGTGTTCTCTCTGGGAAGTTGGAAATCTTTCTTCCCAGTGGAACAGAGGCATCTGCTGTAGACCCTGGTATCTTATAAGACACTGAATCTGAAACCTTTGAAGTCAACATACCGTACAGTGGTATAGAATCATGGGGTTGGGTCCAAGCTCTGAACAGATGTACGACTTGGTGTTCCTAGACCATCCCAGACAGAAGCTTAATCAGCGTATTCTTGAAACCCTCCAAGTGCAGGGCATACCACAGTTTCCCTAGGCACCTTGTTCCATTGTCCTATGCTTCTTACAGCTACAAAGAGCTGAGTAGAGTGGTTCTTTTCACCCCTTGAGTCTCGCATAGAAAAACTCTGGTTATTGCAGCTGCAAATGGAATTTGCTTCCCCCCACCGGGGGGGGGAGCAAAGATCACAGTGCTGTCTTATGTTGGTTTGTGATTCAGTACTGTTACCTAGCTATCGATCCCTCATTCTGCATTTGTCCATTTGGTTTATCATAGAATTGTAGAAATTTAGGGTTGGAAAGGACCACAGGATGTCATCTAGTCCAACCTCCTGCTCAAAGTAGGACCATCCTGAACTAGATCATCCCAGTCAAAACTTTGTCTGGCTGGGTCTTAAAAACCTCCAAGGACAGAGATACTACCACCTCTCTGGGTAATCTGTTCCAGTGTTTTACTACCCTCCTAGTGAGAAAATTCTTCCTAATATCTAACCTAAATTTCCCTTGGTGCAACTTCAGATCATTGCTCCTTGTTCTGTCATCTGCAACCACTGAAAACAGTCCAGCTCCATCCTCTTTCAAAACTCCCTTCAGGTAGCTGAAGGCCAGGGGCGATGTGTAGGGGGGGCATGGGGTTGCATGTGCACCCCCTGAGAGCACCAGTGTACCCCCTGTCAGGCTGCACTCCCTGTTTAGCCAGTGGGTGGGGGGACCCCTGTGAGCGCCGGCCGGGGAGCAGGGCTGCCAGCAAAAGTGGCCGCACTGCTTCCGGAAGCGGCTGGGGGAGTTCCAGAAGCAGCGCGACCACTTTTCCTGTGAGTGAGATCAACTGTAGCCAGTGGGATTGGCCACCAGGGGACCCCCTCCCCCCCAGGTGCTGACTGGTGTTGGGGGGGACACATGCCCCACCTTGACTCAAGAGGCACCAGACACCCATGCTGAAGGCTGCTATTAAATCCCCTCTCGGGCTTCTCTTCTCTAGACTAAGTAAGCCCAGTTCCCTCATCCTCTCCTCATACGTCATGTGCCCCAGTCCTCTAACCATTTTTGTTGCTCTCCACTGGACTCTCCAATTTGTCCACATCCTTTCTGTAGTGGTGTCATCTGCAAACTTGCTGAAGGTACACTCTCTACCATCTTTCAGGTCATTGATGAAGACATTGAACAAAACTGGCCCCAGGACCAGCCCAACTAGATATTGAGCCATTGATTATTACTTTCTGTGTCTGATACTTCAGCCAATTTTCTATCCACCTTACAGTCCATTCATCCAGCATGCACTTCCTTAGCTTGCCGGCAAGAATGTTGTGGGAGACTGTATCCATAACCTTGCTAAAATCAAGGTATATCACATCCATTGGTCTCCCCATGTCCACAGAACCAGTCATTTTGTTATAGAAGGCAGTCACGTTGGTCAGGCATGATTTGCCTTTGGTGAATCTATGCTGACTGTTCCTAATCACCTTTTTCTCCTCCAAATACTTAGAAATTGATTCCTTGAGAATCTGGTCTGAATTTTCCAAGGACTGAGGTGAGGCAGAGTGATCTGTAGTTCCCTGGATCCTCCTTTTTCTCTTTCTTAAATATGGGCACTATGTTTGCCCTTTTCCAATCATCTTGGACCTCTCCTGATCACCATGAGTTTTCAAAGATGAAGGCTGGTGGATCTGCAGTCTCATCAGCCAACTCCCTCAGCATCCTCAGGTGAATCCCATCTAGCCCCATGGACTTGTATATGTCCAGCTTTTCTAAATAGCCCCTAATCTGTTCTTTTGTCACTGTCAGCTGTTCACTTCCTTCCCAAACTGTGCTGCCGAGCGCAGTAGTCTGGGAGCTGACCTTGCCTGTGAAGACTGAGGTGAAAAAGGCATTGCCGTTTGGCCACAGTCAGAGTTAAACTCTCTACTATAGTTAAGGATCCTTCTCCCCCCATCTGGCTTGATTTCAGTGCAGCTGTATTATTCTCCATGTTCTGTCATATCTTTTCATTTCTTGTGCACTCTCTTTCCATTCTTCTGTGAAGTCTTCCATTCTCTTTTCCCATCCATCTGTCTTTCTTCACAGGCCTATTCCAGCTGGAGGTACCACTCCTTTGCTGCTGCAGATTAGCTGTGGTTGGCTGGATTTCGCTCTACTTCTGAGTCATTCAGGACGGGGAAGCCATGGTGCATCTGCTGCAGACTAAAATCTTGCATCATAAATTAAATAAAAACAAACCCTTTTGCCTTTCTACCTTGACTCTCATCACCACTTTGCTTGGACGTAACTTAGCACCTCCAAACTGTGAGCTTGGGGATCTTCCTTTACACCATGCTTAATCTCTTCCACCTCCTGAGGGAGTGACTGTTTCTATCTCTGGAGACCCGCCAGAACCTGCCCATTGGTGTACTCATTCAGGCTTTAATCACATCCTGTCTAGACTTTACTGCAATTCCCACTTTTATATTCTTCCAAAATCCCTTCAGCCAGCCTTCCGTGCCAGAGGGTCCTGTTGCGCAGAGGGTCTCTGTCTTTGTCTGGACCATCTGTAGTGTACATCAGGCTTGTTCAACTTCTAAGTGGCCAAGGGCCATGTACCCCATGGGCTGCACCAGTGGGGGCCTGGCTTGCAGTGGGGGCCACCTCTGTTGCACCACGTGTCCTTCTGCTGCCCCTCCCCTCCCCACTTCACTGTGTGCCCGGGTG